AACAGCTCATTGCAAAAGGTATATGTGTTGATGTAATTGCATTTAGTGAACAAGCATCCCTTAACCTGGAGCTGTTACCAACATCCACAGGAGGAAGGGCTTTCTTTTATTCTGAGAGTGCCACGTCTAACGCTTTAAATGAAGCGTTTGCCACCATTGCCACGAGGGGGAAGAGTAAGTTACAGTAATTCCATGTCTTTCATGTACGCGAACATTTTCTTGGTTCCATTGATATCCGTAACACTTGTGAGTTTCCTATTGATATGTAACGCAGCTGGACATACTATACGGCGACATATCTTGTAAATTGTCACTCACAGAAGAACCTCGCCGATTTTCGCGATTTGCCGAAGTTTAGATTACAGTTTCGAAAATGATAACACAAGAAATTACCAAGAAACTGAATCTGCAATCGCCGTATTGTGTCCTCAATTCATTAAACAATGATAACGTTGTAGAAATGATACATGGTTTATATCAGTTAAAATTTAAAGGGCGGTGGTCGTCGCGCTGCTCATTTGCGACATTTGTGTTGATAAACATTGATTTTCCCAAAATCCAATGCGCTCCTATAATGAAAATCACGAGTACGAGTTTGGACTTGGGTGCAACGTGCACTAATTACCTCTGGTGACTCCTTTGAAACCCTCCAATCACCAAAGATATTACCAAGCTTGGTAAAGTTTGTATTCGTTGGTCTGCGCAACAGACGCCATTTCTTTGTTCATATGAGTCCCATATCTCGCGCATGCTTGGCGCGACGAGCACCGCCCTTTCAACGTAGATGTCATTATGATACGCCTTTTCATATTCTATTAAGTGAGCGCAACATTTTACCAGGTTATTTTTTGTCTTTCTCTTCATGCATTTTCAGCTTACACTCTCGTAACAAAATAGCCCTCGGCATGCTGATAATAGAACAGAAACGTTACGCACATGTAAATATTCGCCCTGACAAGTTTGGTTTTAGGGGAGTGTATGTGCGCCATGTTCCCTATTATGTCTGCTAATATAGTTTTACGTAACATTGTTGTTATTTGTCAGGTGCGTTGGAGCAAGCCGTGCCGCTGTACAGTAATACTATTGTCATCAATGGTTATGATACTTCTGGTTTCTCATTCGACATCGATGCATCAATTGGCATGGATACCGAGTTCCTGTTTAATTACCTTCAATATACCGCTATTGAGGTTACTGTACACACTCCCAATGGGAGCACCATCGATAAAGATTCTTCATTTTATAATTTAGACAGTACTTTCAAACTTATACGGATAAAAATTCCAGGAATTGCCGAGGTAAGATTTCAACGTTTTTATTTTTAAATTTAAATCACGTCTGTATTTTTTTAGCTTAATCGTTACTAAATCCATTAGTGGGACGGTATAGGTTAAACACCCAAAAACTCCATTTACCTTCATCTAATATTTTAGAGAAATATTTTCAGTCACGTTCTGTGATGTAAATTGGCAATGACACAGTCAAGTTTTAATCTGTGATCGTCTGTCAATAAAAAATATGAGTTGGAGAGACGAAGGAACGAGTTCACAAACAAACAATCACAATTGAACAACACCACTTTCCACGCAAGATGGCGCTTCTTAGCCTGCCTGCGCTCAGAACTCTGGGGTGGAGAATGGAACAACACCCATCGACGTCAATATACTCTTACTTTCGTCGGTTGAGGTCATGATTTATACCGAAGGTGGAGTCTTCATTTTATAGCAAATATTAAAAATATTTACACATTGTTATTCTATGAAAAACAGACTTAAATAAAAACATATTCGAATTCGCCATGTTTTCAAAGTTCAATGTTTAAAAACTCGATAGTTAATTTCTTGTGTTCTGATCTTTTTTTTTCATCTCCTGATCAGGTGGGTACGTGGACTGTTTCAATATCAAATCCATCCTCGTCCACGGAATACGTAGGTGTAATAGTCCAATCAAAGAGCAGCACACCAGGTGAATATCCTATTACAGTGACGTCAGAATGGAGTGCCAATACCATCACGCCACCAGAGAAACTGAGACTGTATGCAACTGTATCTAAAGGTATGATGTGTTGGTATTTAACAAAAAAAAACAGATTGTTTTACAAATATTGCGTAATCGTGAAATATATTAGTTTTATGGAAATCATAAATACTTGAGCAAACATACGTAGTCGAAATGTGATCGATGTCAGATCGTAATTTCCGCTTCACACCCTAACGTGATGTGTGTCCTAGTACATCCGGGTCATACATACTTACCTATTTAGTCTATAATGTATTATATTTACAGGTATCATGCCAGTTTTGAATGCTCATGTCGTAGCTACTGTAGAACGACCAAGCGGTGATTCGGTTCAATTGATTATGACTGACAACGGTGGCGGCGCCGATATCACGAAAGATGACGGTGTCTACTCATCGTATTTCACTGCTTTTGCCGGGAGTGATAGATACAGTGTCAAGGTAAATAGTTATGCAACTTAATTCATTCCTACGAGGTTTAGAGGTCTAGCCGAGTAAAAACTTAGTTGGGATGGTGTGAGTTAATAAATACGTGTCTCTGGACGGCGATACGAAAGCAGAAACCGACGAGTGTGGGATTGTGCACCTTAACAATAACGCCATTGCCGAATTGCATTATGGGAAATACATGAATGAGTAAAGACGATTTCTACAACGGCCCCCTTTCATTAATATTTACTCACCCAGTCTGTGACCGGCCTCAGTAATGTATCTGACCACTGTTAGATGGGGAGGGAATTTATGAAGTTCAAAAGCAATACAAAACGACTATGGCCGAAGTGTAAGAGTATCTTTAGACTTGCATGCAATCCCTTGTTTATTTTTTGGTGTTTTTTAAATAACATTTAATATGGGAGTGTATAATGTTCAACCCGGGTTACCGCGAAATAGTGTTTTATTTGGCAGTAACCCGACTTTTGCGCTAACCCGGCTTTCACCATTTACACACTTCCATGATATTTTATTTTATTGAAAAAAATACCAAAAAATAAACAAGAGACTGTATGCAAGTCTATGGTTTCGGTAGTGAAATATAGCAAAAAAACAACAGGTTGTGTAGGCGAGAATATGTGAACAATACCAACATATTGATTTTTGACCTCAGATTCAGTGATATAAGACAACATTTGAATAATCGGCAAATTATAGAATAAATCACCTGTATAAACTAATTGTCATTACTAGGTCGAAGTAACGAATACAGGAGGCGATACTGTAATCAGTCCCAGTAGAGTGGTAGGTTTTGGTTCCTTAACAAATCCTGACCTGCCGAGTACTGGACAACAACCTGAAGATGAATCGACAGGAAAATTTCAGAGAGCTGCCAATGGGGGCAGTGTTACATGCGATGGAAGTACAGCATGCAGTGGTAAGTTGAAATATTAATATTGTGTTTTTTACTTTGAGGTTTTACATTGAGGTTTTACACGTGTCTTTCAAGCGTGTTTTAAAACAAGCCCTCTTGGTGTTATTTTAAGAATTACCTATATACTATGTACCTATAAACTACCATGCTGTCATCGATCTACCCTTGGTCGTTATTAATTCCATCGCACGGTGGAATCTCGTGTAATTTCCAATTCTGTTCACGTGTTGTACACTTTTACACACGTGACTCGTATCGAACACGACGCGGCGCGACGAACCCGTCCTTTAAGGTTGTAGAAGCCTACTCAAATACATAGAAGTTATTCACATTCCAATAAATTGGCACGGTACTTCCGGGTAATATAAGGATATTAATTTAAGAAGTTGGGGCCACCAGCTTAATTTTCAAGAAAATAATGTTTGTATTTTAGTGGATAGTGGTCATTTTTGCAGTATTATAGTGCTTCTACCACAGGTTTCTATGACAGAAATATTATACCATATCCTAAATTGTAGGTTGAAAATAAATATATATTGTGAACGATGAGGTACTTTTTGTTCTCCTCAATTATTAACAAAATCTTGATCTTAAAAAGTGGCAAAAAATGCAATTTTTCTTTAATATTGTGCTTTATGGAATTGTTCTAAAAATATTTTTGAAAAATATTAGGACAAGTTTCCCGAAACACGTCACTGTAACACACAAACAAATCTATTTCATGGTGTCATGAGAAAATAGCACGATTTTACAAAATAAACATTGTCATGCGATTTATGACAAACTTTCTCAAAAATTATGAGTAGGCTTCTACCTTAATCATCCTCTAATAATCATTATACTAGATATACTATACTATTATTGTCTGTGTACTTGTAGGATATTATGATCTGTACCCTCCTGCAAAAATCGTTGATCTACAAGTGACTAAGGTATCCTACGAGGATAGAGGCATAACGCTTCAATTTACCGCACCGGGCGATGATCTGGATTTTGGAAATGGTAAGACTATTCAATCATTAATGTATTTTAAACAAGTTGTAATGTTTATCAATCAAATCATAAATTACTTACCTCAAGACAATAATTAATCAGCAAGGAGTCTGTGTTAACGAATCCATCACGTGACCCAGAATCTTCTGCTTATCTTAGATGCGCAGATGAATAATTTTTACCGCATTCGTCTGATTCAAAAGTAAAGTTTACGATTTTTCGGATGAACGAGAGGTGATTGGAGTGTTTACCCTGAGGATAGTGAAATTATTCAAAGGGTAATATTTACCCCTTTGAATACTGGAAGTTTTTCACGTAAGAACACGTTCAACTGGTGATGATGTTTTTCCGTTCACTGCGAGATCTCGCGTAATGCGTGAAAAATGCGGATCGAACGTCTACCGTCTTTTTTATAGTTCAGTGTCGAAATGCCGCTTCAAGAGAATGATTTGGTGTTTAGATACCTTTACTTTATTACAATTCACCATTATCAAATGAAGCGTGGAAATATCAAAAAAAAATATATATTCGTGTTTGTTGAATCCTAAGCTAAGTTTTAACACCACTGCGACACTATGACCTTTGTTTGTCCTCTTTTCACGCATAATGCGGGATCTCGTAGTGAACGAAAAAAGGCCCGGGGTAATTTTGTAATTGACACATACAAATCACCGTCGCATGTATTCCAGGGTGACCTTTTGTTGTTTTTACGTAAATTTCACTATAGATATCCCCACTGGCATTATAGTATCAGCCGGGCAATCGACATACAAGAATCAACAAAACTTCGCCTTGGAAATAAACGCGACTGTGACACAAATAGGGCCGTTTTGTATTGCAAAAAAAAAAAAAAAAACGATAGAAATTTTCATAGTAGAACCGGCCGTGTTTTAATTTTTCCCCATTATTGATTCAGCGTAAACAGGTATGAAGTGGGGTACTCAAAACGTGACAATTATTTCTTATTATATTTTGTTATCAACAGCGACAGCTTACGAGATTTGGATGCATACTGATTTTAGTACGATGTCTTCTAATCACGAAGACACAACGAATACTACACAGGACCATTTCGTGGAGGGCGTATTGTCGTCACCGCAATCACCAGGAGAAACAGAAACTTTTACCATTGTTGTACCCAATCAAGGTAAATTTGTAATAATAGATTATCAGTACTACGCACGCGTCAAACTTCTAGTTCTCCGTAATAATTACAAACAAATATTTTGATCTCGTTTTTTCCACGAACAAATCCTATATGATGGGAATTAGTGATAATGACGTACATGTAATTATTCTTTTCGCAGGTGAAATTACTTACGTGTTTTGTGTGGTTGCTATTGACGACGGCGGTAACAAATCGCCCAGATCCAACATCGTCTCCGCTTCTATGAAATACTTTCCACAAACTAACTATCTCGTGGTGGTTCTCATAATATCTGCGATTGTCATTGTCTTGATTGCGATCTTTATCACTACGTTGATTTGTATGAAGAAGAAATACCGTGTAAAGCAAGGCACGGTACCAGTGGCCTGAGTTATGGACAGAATTGACTCTACTTCGCAGCTAGTTGTATATCAACATCGATAACTAACATAGCAAGTCACAGTTTGTAACCGTGTGTATAGGTCCTCCGAAAATATAACTGGAGGCTCAAACAAAATATAAACAAATATCTCAAGATATAAACACAATACTAATGAAATCTTACAACATTGTTCAAATGAGCTACTTCACAGTAGGACTAAATGGGCACTTGGCTTCGTTTATTTTAGTAGCGATCGAAAGAGATCTACTGATATTAAACCTTATTTTTCATGACGCAATCTCATGTAAACACTACGCATGCGTAAACACACAAATGATTTAACCGTAGCCTGTATAGAAAAACGACTGAGGTACTACCTTTGAAGTAATGTAGGCAATAATTTCGTAACTCCCAGTTTGGTGTTAATGCATCTGAATGCAAGTAACTTATTGTTTCAAAGACAATCATGCAAAAAAGAGAACAAAACAGAGTGACATTGAAGTAATTATGTTTAAACTAACTCTTCTAAACACGTGTTTTAAACTCAGTAGTGATTGGAGCAGGCCACCATATCATGGTTTATATTAAGATTGCCACTTCCTTGATTATTGTAAACCAGGGTAGAATTCCTCATGTTTGGCAAACAACCATACAATCTGAACATCATAGCTTCGAAGGAGAAGGGTAAAAAAAGAAAACGATAGTTTAACAAAACTACCCCTCTACTCCATCCTACATTACATGAAGTTTATCTTATTAAATTTAGTGCAATTATAATTTAGAGTTTTCCACCATGGCTTCACAAATCGATTTTCTTTGAAATTCGCCTCAGTTCATTGTCCTTCTACCGACGCAATACAATAATCAATGAAATCGCAACAAATGAACACACCTATATATTCAAACCTCTGTCAGGATGAATGTACTATTATGGCTAGGCTGTTTTCACATTTATGCGATTAGGTGAAAGGCAATTGTGCAATATGCTGTGCTATTGAAATACCAGTAATTATGTGAGATGTTGCTGAACAATGCATCTATAACACACTCTGTACATATTCTCTATTTTTTTTTCAAGCCGAAATTAACATAACTCTCGGCGGCATTCCTCTTATCTTTATAATATTTATGGATGTTTCAACTCAAGTTGAAACAATAGGTTGTTTCTATTGGCTGTTGGAATAACATTGGAACTTTTTCAAATGACGTCAATACGCACTGAGCCCGTTGATTGGCTGGTTGGATTCAACTGCCACTGACTTTGATGCATGCATTTGTAGTGCCCAGAGTATAATATTTATACACGTATTTATCTTATTTTATTATTCGCAATAATATGTATAACCAAGAATTATTTGAAAACTGTAATTAAATAAATAACACTGACAATATTGTGTATTGTCACACGAACAACTGAGATATAAGAGTGTTACTAATATTTGCGCAATACTCAGCAGTAATCGACCCACTCGGAATGGTATTTATTTTCCTGGTGCTATATATTAACCAAAAGAGACATACAAAGCGCGACTCCAGAATCTACATACAACATTTAGTAATGTGTGTTAGCGCGCGTGATCAATATTGAGTACGTTATGTGGATACTGCAGAAATGGGCGCTAAATCTTGAGATTTGAACAAAAAACACTGAAATCTACGAAAAACTTATGACGAAAGTATGCAACGTTGCCTAGGTAAAGTTTTACTTTGCGTCATACTGAGTTTGTGAAATCAAATCGAGTAGGAGTTCTGAAGTACGAAACTTCACATACTGCTTCTCACGTGGCAACACGATATGTGATTCCCGGTATTAAACGCAAAAAACCTTACGTAATCAGTAATTGTATGCAATTTATTCAATTTAATAATGAGAAAAAAGTTGCCCCGTTTTACACGGTTTCGTTGAGGCCGACCATCCATGGCCTTCTCCGAACGCGTCAAGATTTAAGGTAGCGAGACTATTATTTGTGTTGAAAATTACGATTTTCACATTTATTTATTAATTGATGAAATGCACTATAAACTTTCATGTGATAAAGCCAACATAACGAAGAATGTCATGTAAGTTGGTTAAAATGTAGATTTTCTGAAGGGAAGCCAGGCAGCCTCAGTAGTGTTTTCCAAAATCAATAACACAGGTTTAATCTGTGTGCCTATAAGTTTCAAAGATAAACTCAAGACAAAGCAATGTTAGGATGTGTTATCAGTAGCTATCTGACACACAATGAGTGTTTCCAAACATTTGAGTGGTTTGTCTCCACCCCTGTTTGTTTCACAGATTAGTCATTTGCATATGAATGTGTCAGACACAAGGTCACACAGCCACTGAAAAAAATCATTGATTTTGGTGTTTTCATATGCCGAATTTATCCAATTATAGCTATCCCATTCCTTTATTTTTTAGGTTTCCAATAGCCTTAGACATTTGGATGTCCCTACACATGTTAAAGCAGACCTTGATGGGAAAACGAAATTGATTGTGCCGATAAACAAGCTTGAAAATCTTTGCTGTTACTTCATGGACGTTTTCTAGGAGTTTATGTTTTTCAAATACAAAGTCTTTAACAAAAAAATAACGTATACTTATTGTCGTCGGATTAACACCCAAATTTTCACAGCTTTAA